AGTTGAGTTGGTTGAAGACGAAAATCAACGTTTTCAAGAATTCTTTGTTCGTCATAGACAAATCAAGGATAAAGATGCTCACATTGCACTTCGAAATGCATTAATTGATCATTTGTGGGATTAATTTATGAATTCCGATAATTAAATTACGACACTAGGTCGACTTTTTCTTATCATAATTTCGAGGTTCGAAATGCACTACGTTATTTTTAATAACACGATTTAACATTTTCTTCGTGGGGGTATTTTTATTAATTGTACTACATTTTTAAAATTTATTAAATAATATAATATTTTTGTAAACGAAACATAATTATGTATGTAGTAATTTATGTAGCAGTAAATTAAATAAATAAATAAATAATTTTTCAGTTGTTAAGAATAAAAAATGAAGAAAATGAGTGAACACTGTTCATTTGGTGCAACTTCTGATGTAATGTGTTGGAGATGATTTTCAATTTAGTGCAAAATTTGGTGTAAAATAATACAAAATTTGAGATGGTCTAATATCCAAACTATGGTACAACATTGGAGACATTTATGATTTATGGTGTAAAATAGTGTTTTGGGATCTTCAATGGAGATGCCCTTGGTAATTTTCCAAGAATGTAGAACACGTGGCATCAGGAAAATATCTTGGGGAAAAGTAAGGAACAGTTGCTATATCATCACTGTACAGTCTAGCACGACTACAATTCCTTCCTTTCAGTTGATTTATCTAATTTAGCGTGTTCTAAACTGTACTATTGCCATCGATATGGTAAAGTAATTAATCAGCAGTGTTTTTAATTAAATTTTGATGAAAGTTAAAAAGATGAATGATTAAAGAATTGTGGAGTCTATAAAATATGTGATTAAAATTAGATTTTAATTTTTACCAAACAGGAGCTTAGCATGTTAACTTAGCCCCAGTTTGGTGCTCGTCTTGTAAAAAACTATGTTTTTAATAGTGTTCTGTTGGAAAACGTGTGGTTAAAAAGTAATTATTATTAATATTATTTTAATTTGTTCTATAAGGGATATTTATTTTAACTGCTTAAATGAATTGAGATCCTTGCCTTGCCTCCTCACAAGTGGAGTTGGCCGTCTAGTTGTCATGTGGTAAAAAAGAATATAATGAACCATATATTTCATAAGATTCGGTATAAAAAATTCGGTACATGTAGCATAACCCATAGGAAAATTACTCTAAAACTGCTGCAAGCTAAATTTTTTTCCATATTTCGATCTGTCTCGTCAATCAATTCTTGACCATTCAATCTCTAACATACTTGAAATTTCATTTCAACAAAGGATAAATCTATATGTACATAATTATTGTCCATAATGGATTACATAAGCCCATGTGGAAGAAATTCGACCGTGGATGTGAAGTGTGGAAAAGTAAAAAATTGTAGACTACCGATGGATGCACGCCACATGCCAATTATGTAATTTATTATGTAAAAGATTATGTACTTGTAGCATGGTCCTAACAATCATGTTATGGTCCTTTCAACAATCGTGCTACTTGTACAATCATGAATGATAACCAAACAATCGTAGTAGTGTAAATAGAATTTTTGAAATTGTCGAAAACTGTTTTTTAAAATCACTGGGAGATGGACATTTGCAAGGTCGGTCGTTTAATTACCATCATTTCCTTTTCTTTAGTAAGGGTTTCTCTTTTGTTCTCCTGGGCCTTTTCAATTTTCTCCTTCTGTCATCCGTCTTTGAAACGCATTTGAAGCACCAGCGGACACAAGGGTTGGTCGTGATGGCCGCCAGCTGATTTTGTCATTTTCACAACTTGGTACCTAGCTATCATTTAATTACTTCTCTCACATTATCATTCACAACAGCTGTTCGTGCACTCAACTTCTCACTCAGGCCTATCGATGGAAGCAACAGTGGTGGAGGCATTTCATATTAAAATGAAGCCCTAGGCTAGCATGTTGCTGACAACATCCTCCGCCTTGAATCTGTAACAGTTGGCTTTGGCTTCTTCAATGAAAAAACAAGTTTTCTAGATGATGCATAGAAGGAATCAATCAAAATAAAAACATAAACTCATTATTCTACGTTGCCTCGTCACAAACTATATTTCATGAATTGTACGTGTTGAAGTGTATCTAGGTAAGTTGTGACCAGAAACCACCTCCAAAATACCACATGCTTCCACTTTTTTAAGTTATTTTACTTTTCTTCTATTTTAAAGTTTCAGGTCTAATTGACAGATTAGCTTTTCAGCCTTCGAACTTTTAACTGTATTTGTGTAATTTCATAAAAGTCTCCTATTCAGAAAGTCCGACAGAGAATGGATAAAGTTGGCAGAATATGGACTTTTGAAAGTTGACATGAAGATATTTCCTGTCTATGGAAAACCATTCCATATATAATTCAAGACATCGATCGACGCCAATTGTAGACTTGAAAAAACATAATCTTAGAATGTTAATTACTTCCTAAATGGATTATCAATTCAGAAGTAAAGTATACACATATAAGGATCATTAGTCAAATAGTTTCAACTGTACACCAATTAATCTTCATCTAAATGGATAAAAAAATCACTGAGTCTCAGCAAAAAGTAATGAAGAATATCACCAGGTAGTCCAATCACATAGAGGATCGAGAGTTCATAAGACATTTCTCAGCTTCAAATCCCTGATTTGGTCCCAAAAATCAGATCTCAGGAATTCAAGTGTTCTCCAGAGAGACAAAACAGCTTTTGCGTTTCTTCTTCTAGTTGCTAAAGCTGCATAAAGTGATTAGAGTCCTTTTATAGGAAGACAAAACATTAATAAATTGTTTGGAGGTGGAATGGATATCATGATAATAAACCTGTTTTCTACATATTAATCATTTCAGCACTTCAAATTGAACCAAATTCGCACAACTGAAATAAAAGCCAAACTTTATTAACCACAAATAAAATAATATTTGACAACCAACATAAAAAACATTGTGCAATATAATCACATCTGCAATCCCGATAAACTTTTTAAAAAAAAAATGCGATATGACCGTGTATAATTAAATGCGATATAATTTTAAAAGATATAAGAAGACTACCTAATTTAAAAGATATTTCTGTTATTACATCATTATAGTAAACAATCAAGTATGATTCCATGTATACACCTCATGCCGACAAGGAAGGAAACTCTTAAAAAGTCAGGGAACACTGCCTCGAATTGAAATTAAGTGCACATTTTATTTTGATTTAGCATATTACTTGGTTAATCGTGGGGAGTTTATTTTGCTCCTGGAACAATCGAGTCAACATATTGGCAATTTAAACTAAACTTTTTAAAGATGATTTACCTGTATATTGTGTTCCAAAATCTCACCAAACAGAAGACTTTAAAAAAAAGTCCAAATAAAAATTCGAATATACTTTAAGTAGTTCAGACAAGACAAATCTTGTATCCTTGTGGAGTTAGCCATAACCCTAAAATTTAATGAGATTCGTTGCTCCAATTTGTTATAAAAAAAGGAGGTCCAACTTGAATATATGCAAAGAGACTTCATTAATTCTACAAGGCAACTTCTGCTCAACACTCTCCTCTCTGTGGCTCAACACTCTCTTCTGCTCATTGCTGTGGATCGCCTCTTCACCATGTGAGTACTCTATTGGTTCAGTCTGTTCTATAATGACCGTTGAGGTCCCGAGAAATAGCGTCGATAGTCAAGTTTCTTCCTTTTAGTAGATCCAAATATAAATAAAAATTATTTGCATTCATAAGGAAAAATAAGAACATTCTTATGAATCTATCACCCATGCTTCGCTACGATTGCTGCTTAAGGAGGCAGAGAGAGAGAGAGCTTTGACTGAATAGGAACCTGCATTTGAAGAACCAATCGGCTTGTCTATTGTAATGAGTAGACTGCGAATTTTTTCAACCTCCTCTTTGTGGAACATATGTAGTTCTTGCGAGTCCAATGCTTCCCCTGTAACAGCTACATTTTCTCCATGTTTAATCCTGCCAAAAACTCATAGATCCTTTCTCCTTCAATGAATTTAAATAATAAAGAGGCATCATCACTGGACTTCATCTTAATGTTATGACAATAATCGAGTTCAACCCATAAGCTATTCAAAGTATTGTAATACTCAGTGACAACAGACTGCCTTGCTTAGTTGAGTAGTCTGTATTTCAAAGACCAAGGCAGCGTCCTTTACTATGGAATAGTCCGCTTCACAGTTTCCCAGATCTCCTCTGCAGTTGTCAAGAACATGCAATTTTCTCTTACTTCTGGATGCATTGAATCCCATAGCCATGACATGATTATAGAGTCTTCAAAGTCCCATGCCTCGTATTTGTGATCGTCCTTGTTCGGTGCTAGTTCAAGCAAGTGCTGAAGTTTTCCTTTTCCCCTTGAGTATCGTGCGAACCACTTGTAACCATATCATGTAATTCCTTTTGTTGAGGCAATAGCCGCTTGAATACTTCCGAGTTCATTTGAATGGACTCCTATAACAGTCTCGAAAGATGCAGTAACTTTGGAAGAATCGGATAGGGAAGACATGGTAATGATTTGTTGAAAATAATAGATCCATTTTTTAGAAAACTAGAGATGAAAAAACAACTATAGCGATGAAAGCTGATGAAGATTATTACAAAAAATCAAAACAGATGGACGACAAATTGATTGTCCTAACTATGATACCATAAGGAATTTATTGTACCTACTATTGTCATTAAAAAAAAAAAACTGTTTTGGCTCTGGATTTATTTTATATATTACACACGGGATACTCTTATTAATTTGTTTAGAGAATGATAGCGTGAATACATTTTTGAAGGCTCGGTACATATACACTGTTACAGATATATATTAGTGTATACATAAACGGTGACAACATAAAATATAGAAGGTAAGTTTTTTGTTTTATTCTCAATTTCTTCTCTTTGCATTTTTGTTCTCAATTCAGCAGTTAATAAGTTAAACTTTCCCCTTGGTATTCAGTTTTGAGGGGGCCTAAGGATTTGGGAATATAAAAGTGACACAGAGACATGAGTTCCATTTATGATATGGAAGACAAGGAATTAGAGAGATCCAAAATTCAGATAGAAACGGGAAGGAAACTAAGAGCTAATGGTGAAGGACTAAATCAATCTTTTTTGAGCATGTTCAAAGCAATTACTACATTGGTAAGTCACATATACAATTATTTTGCTTTGGTTTCTTGTATCTATACTCCACATTTCATGGTTCTCACTTGTATGTGGATGTTATTTTGACGTTGGTATTAAGTTAACATAAAATATTTTAATGGACAGACGGCTATCAAAGTAAAAAATAAAAGCTGCTGTTCAGACGTTCATCTCCAACTAGCTATTGCTTGTATCTTACGTTTTCTCTATGCCCATTATACAAAACCTCAGTCAAATGTTATTTTGTCGAGAAGGTTTGTCTCCACATTGAGTAAATACTTCTTGTATCTTGCTGATAATTGAATATGTCGTTGTCACTTGTTTGACGCTTTCTAATCCTTTTTTTGAAACAGAATATTGTATGAAAGTATGCAGTTAAAGATTTGCCACATTATTGCTATGTAGATGAGAATACCAATAAGACGTGGAATGATGTCCTCCACTTGTTATGTCTAATTTTTGACTTTTTATCAGCACAGGTAATTGTGAATATTTATGTTTTTGATATTTGTAATTGGGTTGAAGTTCCTTTGCTTTATTCCAGGGCTATTTGGAAACCAGATTCTTTGATGTGGTGATCCAGTTGTATGAATCTAAAAACATTCCTCTAGAGAAGATGGCTATACTGTGGAAAAATAAAAGGCTTAATCATGCCTTTTGTTCTTCACCCATACATGAAGTGCTTAGAAGAAGTTTTTATAAGCACTATGGTGAACGTTCTGAGTCGGGTAGTTTAGAAAAAACTTGTATGGCCGAAGTAACTGGGTTTAATTGCATGGACGATCAGATAAAGCAAGCTGCTTTTAGTTTGATTTCCAGTGTAAGTTCTAATAATTTACGCGAATATTTTCTTCATTTTATACTCTAAGAGTAGGTATATTTATACTAATCAATGTCTTTATATTTCCTTTTGGTAGACTCCTGAAGTTGATGGGTCGAAGTTTCTTGCATCCTATCTTTACTATGCCTTGTCTGAAAGTCTAGTTTCAACTGGAAAATTAATTGAGGTAATTTCCAAGATATGTTGCTTCCATAAATGTGTTGTTCATAATGTACTCTGTGCATGTGGAATGCAATTTCATCAATATAAAAAATGAAAAATGCTACACAAACTTAATTTTATATCTATGTGCCCCCTTATGTTTGTGTAGCATTTCCCATAAAAAAATTTATGATCGTTGGAGCTACATAATAGGCAAGGTGGGTGGACGTAATAACTAAAATTAAGTTTGTGTAGCATTTTCCATTTTTTATATTGATGAAATTGCATTCCACATGCACAGAGTACATTATGAACAACACATTTATGGAAGCAACATATCTTGGAAATTACCTCAATTAATTTTCCAGTTGAAACTAGACTTTCAGACAAGGCATAGTAAAGATAGGATGCAAGAAACTTCGACCCATCAACTTCAGGAGTCTACCAAAAGGAAATATAAAGACATTGATTAGTATAAATATACCTACTCTTAGAGTATAAAATGAAGAAAATATTCGCGTAAATTATTAGAACTTACACTGGAAATCAAACTAAAAGCAGCTTGCTTTATCTGATCGTCCATGCAATTAAACCCAGTTACTTCGGCCATACAAGTTTTTTCTAAACTACCCGACTCAGAACGTTCACCATAGTGCTTATAAAAACTTCTTCTAAGCACTTCATGTATGGGTGAAGAACAAAAGGCATGATTAAGCCTTCTATTTTTCCACAGTATAGCCATCTTCTCTAGAGGAATGTTTTTAGATTCATACAACTGGATCACCACATCAAAGAATCTGGTTTCCAAATAGCCCTGGAATAAAGCAAAGGAACTTCAACCCAATTACAAATATCAAAAACATAAATATTCACAATTACCTGTGCTGATAAAAAGTCAAAAATTAGACATAACAAGTGGAGGACATCATTCCACGTCTTATTGGTATTCTCATCTACATAGCAATAACGTGGCAAATCTTTAACTGCATCCAACATACTTTCATACAATATTCTGTTTCAAAAAAAGGATTAGAAAGCGTCAAACAAGTGACAACGACATATTCAATTATCAGCAAGATACAAGAAGTATTTACTCAATGTGGAGACAAACCTTCTCGACAAAATAACATTTGACTGAGGTTTTGTATAATGGGCATAGAGAAAACGTAAGATACAAGCAATAGCTAGTTGGAGATGAACGTCTGAACAGCAGCTTTTATTTTTTACTTTGATAGCCGTCTGTCCATTAAAATATTTTATGTTAACTTAATACCAACGTCAAAATAACATCCACATACAAGTGAGAACCATGAAATGTGGAGTATAGATACAAGAAACCAAAGCAAAATAATTGTATATGTGACTTACCAATGTAGTAATTGCTTTGAACATGCTCAAAAAAGATTGATTTAGTCCTTCACCATTAGCTCTTAGTTTCCTTCCCGTTTCTATCTGAATTTTGGATCTCTCTAATTCCTTGTCTTCCATATCATAAATGGAACTCATGTCTCTGTGTCACTTTTATATTCCCAAATCCTTAGGCCCCCTCAAAACTGAATACCAAGGGGAAAGTTTAACTTATTAACTGCTGAATTGAGAACAAAAATGCAAAGAGAAGAAATTGAGAATAAAACAAAAAACTTACCTTCTATATTTTATGTTGTCACCGTTTATGTATACACTAATATATATCTGTAACAGTGTATATGTACCGAGCCTTCAAAAATGTATTCACGCTATCATTCTCTAAACAAATTAATAAGAGTATCCCATGTGTAATATATAAAATAAATCCAGAGCCAAAACAGTTTTTTTTTTTTAATGACAATAGTAGGTACAATAAATTCCTTATGGTATCATAGTTAGGACAATCAATTTGTCGTCCATCTGTTTTGATTTTTTGTAATAATCTTCATCAGCTTTCATCGCTATAGTTGTTTTTTCATCTCTAGTTTTCTAAAAAATGGATCTATTATTTTCAACAAATCATTACCATGTCTTCCGTATCCGATTCTTCCAAAGTTACTGCATCTTTCGAGACTGTTACAGGAGTCCATTCAAATGAACTCGGAAGTATTCAAGCGGCTATTGCCTCAACAAAAGGAATTACATGATATGGTTACAAGTGGTTCGCACGATACTCAAGGGGAAAAGGAAAACTTCAGCACTTGCTTGAACTAGCACCGAACAAGGACGATCACAAATACGAGGCATGGGACTTTGAAGACTCTATAATCATGTCATGGCTATGGGATTCAATGCATCCAGAAGTAAGAGAAAATTGCATGTTCTTGACAACTGCAGAGGAGATCTGGGAAACTGTGAAGCGGACTATTCCATAGTAAAGGACGCTGCCTTGGTCTTTGAAATACAGACTACTCAACTAAGCAAGGCAGTCTGTTGTCACTGAGTATTACAATACTTTGAATAGCTTATGGGTTGAACTCGATTACCGTCATAACATTAAGATGAAGTCCAGTGATGATGCCTCTTTATTATTTAAATTCATTGAAGGAGAAAGGATCTATGAGTTTTTGGCAGGATTAAACATGGAGAAAATGTAGCTGTTACAGGGGAAGCATTGGACTCGCAAGAACTACATATGTTCCACAAAGAGGAGGTTGAAAAAATTCGCAGTCTACTCATTACAATAGACAAGCCGATTGGTTCTTCAAATGCAGGTTCCTATTCAGTCAAAGCTCTCTCTCTCTCTGCCTCCTTAAGCAGCAATCGTAGCGAAGCATGGGTGATAGATTCATAAGAATGTTCTTATTTTTCCTTATGAATGCAAATAATTTTTATTTATATTTGGATCTACTAAAAGGAAGAAACTTGACTATCGACGCTATTTCTCGGGACCTCAACGGTCATTATAGAACAGACTGAACCAATAGAGTACTCACATGGTGAAGAGGCGATCCACAGCAATGAGCAGAAGAGAGTGTTGAGCCACAGAGAGGAGAGTGTTGAGCAGAAGTTGCCTTGTAGAATTAATGAAGTCTCTTTGCATATATTCAAGTTGGACCTCCTTTTTTTATAACAAATTGGAGCAACGAATCTCATTAAATTTTAGGGTTATGGCTAACTCCACAAGGATACAAGATTTGTCTTGTCTGAACTACTTAAAGTATATTCGAATTTTTATTTGGACTTTTTTTTAAAGTCTTCTGTTTGGTGAGATTTTGGAACACAATATACAGGTAAATCATCTTTAAAAAGTTTAGTTTAAATTGCCAATATGTTGACTCGATTGTTCCAGGAGCAAAATAAACTCCCCACGATTAACCAAGTAATATGCTAAATCAAAATAAAATGTGCACTTAATTTCAATTCGAGGCAGTGTTCCCTAACTTTTTAAGAGTTTCCTTCCTTGTCGGCATGAGGTGTATACATGGAATCATACTTGATTGTTTACCATAATGATGTAATAACAGAAATATCTTTTAAATTAGGTAGTCTTCTTATAATCTTTTAAAATTATATCGCATTTAATTATACACGGTCATATCGCATTTTTTTTTTAAAAAGTTTATCGGGATTGCAGATGTGATTATATTGCACAATGTTTTTTATGTTGGTTGTCAAATATTATTTTATTTGTGGTTAATAAAGTTTGGCTTTTATTTCAGTTGTGCGAATTTGGTTCTTATTTTTCCATATGAAGGAAGATTTCCCCCATCAATGCAGACGTATAAGTTGTGGCTGGAAACATACTTCTTGGAGTTTTGACATAACAAAAGTGCAATAGAACCACAAATTTTTTTTCTTACATTGATGTGTCCAAAGCCTTGTGCATATAATATAATTGACAATTAAAGCTATTGGTGAGGAATTTAAAATGTAATAGCGAAAGGACGAGCTAAAACTTTGACGAAAAGTGTAACAAACTGATTAAATTCATCGACTGAGGATTCCGTGACAACTTAATTTCAACATCAATAATTCAAAATATTAATAACTCCAATGTAATATGTCAGACTGACGATCTCTAGCTGATGCTCGTCATGACCAGAGGCCAATTGACAAAGTCACAAAAGTGTCTTAGAGGTCATATTCATGCTCCAAAACAGAACGATAATCTCTCAAACTCCCATTTTGCATTAAAAAATAAGCTTTGCATAATCGATGACCGATTCAAAATCGCCCAGGAAAATATTATACTTTCAGCTCCCGTTTTGCATACAAAAATATGCTCGCATAATCATTAACCATTTATTTAATGATGTAATCATAATCGCCCAGAAAAAATTTATTCTCTGGAAACGTTCAAATTATTTGAAAGAATTTTCTTCATTTTTTTTGGTTTCATCTTTGACCGAGACCATAAAAATAACTGATACAACTCTGTTATTTATGTCTGATTTTCAGATCTACATATATATATATTATTAGAAACAAGATAAATTCAGCTCTTTAAGAATGACAAGACCATACAGTTCATATTTATTCTCAGATGTACAAACCTTTTATTGGACGGCGATGGGTGGGGAGCGGCAACAAGAGGTAGAGGCGAGAACAGCAGAAGAATGAATGGGAATTTGATTTTTAGGGTTTGCCTTTCTTTTGCAATTAATTTTTTTTTTAATTTTAACTAAATGGGTCGGGTCGGGTCGGGTTTTATGAATAAATTTAATTAACACTCATTGAACTTTAAAGTTGTTACCACTTACTCAACTTTGACGGGTTACCAAACACTCGCTCATCTTTCCTTATAGTTTTCCATCCACCACTCATTCGACTTCCATCCTTCGAAATTGACAGAAAATTACACCGTGGATGACGATAATCTCACGTGTAATTTTCTCTCCGTTAAATTGACCGCGTGTAATTAAAATACACGACATTTCTCATTTTCAAATCACGCTTCTCTTTCTCCCCCATTTTCACGACACTGCTCACTGGAAGAACCCCCAAATTCAAGCCCTTAATTTCTTAAAATTATCCGTCGGCTCCCCCAAGAGAAACCCCCAATCCACTACCGCGAAGGAAGCCCTCCGCGACGACAGCGCCCAGCTCAAAGCCCTCATCGCCTAGCTCGATGAAGTTGCAAGCCGGGAAAGAGAAGAAGTCAGGAAAATCAGACAAACCAAATCAAACGCAGAAGCCTTTTGAAGATGCAACATTTGCTTAGAAAATTGGTGGAATTAGTATTGCTGCTGGTTATTGCGGTCCGCGAAAACGAATAGGCAGAATGTAGTACAGGGTTATTTGCTGCTGGTTATTACAGTCCTCTTTGTACTATTGATAATAAGATTATAGTTGGTTGTTGTTTCATTATGTTATAACTTGGTTTGTTTCAATATCGCATTCAAATTCAAATAGATTGGACCAGTTGGGATGTAGTCTGAGTCGTGCATTTAGTTTCCATTTTTTGCATCAGATTTGTTCTGTGATGCACCAGATATGTTCCCAGATTTGCAGTTGGGATGTAGTCTGTGAGGTGCATAAACTCTGTGATTTGTTCCCAGATTTTCAAGGCCAAGTTCACGAGTTTGAAAAACAGATCAATCATTCTCCACCTTATTTTCACTAAAGTTACTCTCAATTCTCCACCTTATTCATTCATTCTCAAGAAATTAAGGGCTTGAATTTGGGGGTTCTTCCAGTGGGTAGTGTCGTGAAAATGGGGGAGAAGGAGAAGCGCGATTTGAAAATGAGAAATGTCGTGTTTTTTAATTACACGTGGTCAATTTAACGGAGAGAAATTACACGTGAGATTACCGTCATCCCCGTGTAATTTTTGTCAATTTGGATGGATGGAAGTCAAATGAGTGGTGGATAGAAAACCATAAGGAAAGATGAGTGACTGTTTGGTAACCCGTCAAACTTGATGAGCATCAGCTGGAGATCGTCAGTCTGACATATTACATTGGAGTTATTAATATTTTGAATTATCGATATTGAAATTAAGTTGTCACGGAATCCTCGGTCAATGAATTTAATCAGTTTGTTACACTTCTCGTCAAAGTTTTTAGCTCGTCTTTTCGCTATTACATTTTAAATTCTTCACCAAGAGCTTTAATTGTTAATTATTTTATATGCACAAGGCTTTGTACACATCAATGCAAGAAAAAAATTTTGTGGTTCTATTGCACTTTGGTTACTGCTATGTCAACTCCAAGAAGTATGTTTCCAACCACAACTTATATGTCTGCATTGATGGGGGAAATCTTCCTTCAAGAATAATTTTTATCCTCAAGGTGTCGATTCCATAATAGTGGAAGGTCATTCGAAGTTTTTTTTGTATTCAACCGACTTCCGTTAACACACAATTCTATTATGTAGGAACAGCCCTGTAGGAGTTGAGCTATAATTGATGTAGGACAATCTTATTATGAATAGGATAGTAGTTACTTATTATTACAATATGATTCGTTTTTCCTCTTAGATTAGAGTTTTATTTTCTTTTCAGGATTTTAGTTTTTTTTCCTGGCGCTGGTAAGATCAGAGAATTATTTTGCCTATAATAAACAAAGGCTTTATATACTTTTCAATAACCAATTCCTTATAATAAAATTATTTTCTAGGTATTTTCAAGATGTTCAACTTTGCTATTGTTTAAAATTTTCAATTCTGCTTCCGCACCAATTTCCTGAAGTCACTAAGAAAGCCTCGTGTGCTACAGGAAACAATGAAAGATAATTTAACAGAAGCGAGTACTCGTGTAACCAAAGGCAATGCAAAATTCACAATGGTAAGAATTTTTTTCCAAGAGATTACACCTGTAGGAGTTGTACGCCATAGGAGTTGGCCCTGGATTTTCCTTTTTTCTAAATTCACTAAGAAATAGAGCAATTGAGCAATAGATTTTGAAAAGGGGACTGGCAAGTTAACCAATAGAATTAACGTGCATAACAAATCTAGCAAGTCTTTAGTTGGAATTACAATTTGTAACAAGCCAATACAACCAACTCAACCCAAATAATTTAGATGAGGTAATTAAAGGAAACAAGGGGTATGAGCCCATAGAGGATTTTAAAATTTTTGACTTTGTAGAATGGGCCCAAGTGTATAATAGATCCATTAACTTAGAGCTTAGTAGTTCAAACCAGGTTGACATTTTAATATGGGCCTTGGAAATAAATCTCAAAGCCTGCGTGTACATTACTTTCAAGCCCAAGAAAATTGTGCCCAAATAAGTTTCACAAAAGTGCTGGGAAAATGTGGGCCTAGAAAAAGTAATTCCCAAGCCCAAATCACATTATCCTGTGGCCCAATCAAGAGTAGTCTTCCCATTATATCAATTGACTATTTCTATATCTATAGTGATATAAAATTGACCATCACGTGAAGCCAACCAAAATACATACTAACCTGCAAAAGCCTCCATTTGCCAGTAAAAAGTCTGCAAGAAAGTTGTAATGAGCCACCAAATTCATTTGAATGTGCCACCATCATTTTCTTGTCACTATCACATTTAATGTTTATCTAGTGGACAAAAGCAAATCCCACGTGCTGTGGTATACTATCACCCAACCGCCGGTCACCGGAGTTCTTCTTGAGATGCAGCGACTCTATCTCTTTAACCATCTTCATAACAACACAAAGCTCAGGCAGCCCACTCCAAAATTGAATTTTGTGGCTCCAATAATTTGCATCATTTATGCTCTTTGTTGCTAGATTTTTGATGCTTGATGTATCAAATAATGGTGGTTCACCTTTTCATTTTCATCTTTTCTTGTGTTTTCCATTTCATTTAGCATTGAGTTTTTCCAAAATGAAGAATATGGCCGGTCAAAAAAGGGGGAGCAAACAGAGCCCTTTACCAACCCCTTGGCAATCTTTTCCTATTTTATTTTTTCCTCTTGCCAGTAGCTCCATTTGCAGGATAATGAAATTAACCCCTTTTCATGGTGGTTTTTTCAACCCCGGTTTATTCAACCCCTGCCGGAAAGTTTCCTTTCTTCAAGGAAATGTTTTAGATGCTACCAGTAGCTTTCTCCATTATTTGGAACATGTCTTCAGTCTATTGGTAGAGAAATTGTCTGGAAAAAAAATCATTTTTTCGGTTGCTGTCTTCTCCCTTTGGGTAGAACAAACTGTCCGAAAAAAATTTCTTTTCCGGTGACTCTTTGGCACGTGGTATAACATGGTTAACGTACCGTTTCCCACAGAAGGCGCCAATCTATTGACCCCAAAAAATGAGCAACAGAATCCCCACCACGTCCCCTCCACGTGGACATCACCTGCACACGGAGCACCCCGTTAGCAGGCAAAGGCCGTCGGTGGAGAAAAAGGTCCGGCGACCGTTCGCACTCCGACGGTCAAGTCAACGGCCGGACTAAAAATATAAAAAGAGTGCAAGAGACAGGAGAGGGGATTTGGTTAGGTTTAGATAACATACCTTAATTATGAAGTGGATTCACATATATATAGAAAATGGAAATGTAAATGGGTCACTGTTAATGGATCAAGTTTAGGCCCATAGGACAGACATCATTCATGAGAAGCCTCAGTAGGCACTTCAAATAGCCTTTGGGGAGCCTCGGTTAGACACTCTAAAGAGCCTTTGGAAAGCCTCGGTTAGGCATTTCAAAGAGCCTTGGCTAAGCACTTAAGGAGCCTCGATTAGGCACTTGTTAAGCACTTCGGCTTAGCCACTGGGGAGCCTCGATTAGGCACTCTTTAGGCACACTTAATGAGCCTCAGTTAGGCCTATTTAGGCACCTCAGTTAGGCACTAAGGAGCCTCGGTTAGGCACTCTTAGGCACTTCGTCTAGCCACTTAAGGAGCCTCGGTTAGGCACTCTTTAGGCACCTCGGTTAGGCACTAAGGAGCCTCGGTTAGGCACTCTTAGGCACTTCGTCTAGCCACTTAAGGAGCCTTGGTTAGGCACTCTTAGGCACCTCGGCTAGCCACTTGGTGAGCCCCGGTTATGCACTTTTAGGCACCTTGGCTAGCCACTTGGTGAGCCCCGGTTAGGCACTCTTAGGCACCTCGGCTAGCCACTTGGTGAGCCCCGGTTATTCACTTTTAGGCACCTCGGCTAGGCTCAATTTCATGGGATAACAAGAGTAATGTTTCTTTGTGAAGATAACGATAATTTTTAAACGAGCACACACTTCGTCGGAACCCGGGCAGTGCGCTGGCGGCGTCGAACGACAAAAGAAGAGGAAGAAATCTCTACTGTAGCGGCGATCGAGAAAGACAGAAAGGTTTCAGAAATGGGGAAAAGAGGCGAAAGTGTGAGAGAAGAAAAGAAAAATGCAAAGAGATGATGGTTGCGTGTGAAATTGAATTAGAAATGGACAGAGAAAAAAGTCTGTGAGAGATGAAGAAAAATGTGGTGGTTGAGTGAAAAAAGTCTGATGGTTGCGTGAGAAATCAGGGAAATTGGACTAATACGTGTAGGAAGAGATAGCGTGCAAGGCTGAATTGGAGTAAAGTAATGTATTGATCAGTATCAGTAATCAGACAATGATGAAGCACACTGGCTCGGCTAACTAACACGGCTCACCCAACTGGACTCGGCCAAACGGCTCAAATAGCTTAGGAACAGTACCAATCCAACTGACTCTTTTTATATAGGTAGGATAATAATAACTAGTCAGACGCACGTGCAATGCACGTGCTATCAGCGTAGTTGGCTACTTAATAACGTGATTGTAAAAGAAAAAATCAAAATAATTCACTTCATAGAAGATGTTTGTCTACCAGCACTGTATAATGTAGGACGATTCTTCTGAAAAATATTGAGTTCCTTGAATATCTATTTTGACGTCATAAGTTTACCATTTTTAATCAACCCAATAAAGTTAGCCAAATCAGTAAATTAAGAAAGTCTACAAGCATAAAAATCACAGCATAAATTTCAAGAGATTTACCATAATCTCGTGGGTCAAAGCAATAAACTGGAAATACAAATAATAAACATGTACTCACTTTTGAAAAGAAGTTCATAAAAAACTATTTAATTCCTCATGCCATATATGTAATCATATGCACACTTTTGAAAGGACTATGTTGTTCTCATTTAATTTTGACTTCATTGACTATACAGAAAGGCAACTGAATTTCATACCTTATGTGCCGTCTGTACTTCTGTGACCTTGAACAAAGTAGAAGAGCTTATCCCCAACATGCGGCATGTTAGCTATGGGAAAGGCACAGCCGAGCAATTGTGGCATACAAACTGCTTCATCCTCAATTAAATACATAAATCCCAGTATTATTAGAATGCATAAATAAAGAAATTGAAATTAGAATTTTTTGCCAATATAAAAGACAATAAAAGGCTAATATTTTATACATTATAATGTTATACTTGAGGTCCGGGATAACCTCTCTGGGGATATCCAATGGGCCACTTAAAAGGATGTACTTTTGCTCAATACAATTCCTTTAATGCAGAAAATAAAAATTCAATAAACCAGAAAGTACAAAAATATAAAGAGATTTGAAGAAATCCTATCACAATTCAATTCTCAAAAGTTAATACCATGGTTCTCCAGAGCAACATCGAGATGGCTAAAAATCTTGACTGGGCTGTGCCACTTGTTTGTTGGAATAGGCTCGCTAGATGAAGTGTAAGCATCATACATGACTAAGGTATGATTTAAAAACACATAAGTAAACTACAAAACCAACATAATTTAATGTGTAATCGATGATAGTAAGAAGCAACTTACCAATGTATTATTTCCCCTCCAGAATGGATTTTCGAAAATTGCTTGAGGACTACATCATTCAGCAAATAAATGAGTAAAAAGTTCAAAGAAAGCATGATTAATAGAATAAGGGGAAAACTTGCAAAGAAAGCATCAAATACTCCAAGACCAGAGTCCAACTCAAACCATGATTAATAGAATCAGGGTCAATCTCATCTATTGCAATACCTATTTTTAATTTGTCTACAAAAATATGTTGAACAAATTTTTTAGAGGAAAAAGACACATCAAACTTTAACAGTAAATCCATAGATATTAAGTAGCCATCAAGGCTTCAATGTTCAATATTATTCAACCACGGTTCCAGTTTATTTTTACTCCGAAATTGACTATGCTCACAATTTTGGATAAAAAAAACTCCGAAAGAAGCAGATGTATTTGCAATAGATGCTCGTACAATAGGTAGTTATGCATGCATTCTGAAATAATCTTCGCAACTTGCAATTTGAAACAAGGGAAAGGGAAAGAGAAAGCAAAGCATGTTAAGTCAAACATTCCAGAAGTTATCAGTTTAATCAACATGCAAAAGTACTACCTCAGAAGATTGAATTCAATAAATCCAAAATGCCTCAATTTATGTGTCTGTCAAATAGTAAACTAAACAAATTAATACCATCACAAGGATTGAACAACAATAGCAAACATCCATCATGACACACTAAAATGTCACAGAAAGCTTCTTCCTTTTCTGATGAAATGAAGTCATTGAAAGACCACCATGGTATGCATGTAAGGATTAATTTTGATGTCAGAAACAATCTAATCAAACACTTGATCAACAGTGTAAATCTATATTTCCCAAGAAATTTATTGCTGCTTCACATAATAATAAGTTTAGAAAGAACTTATTGTCACACATCAAAATTTGTAGTAGTATAAAAGTGTAATTTCTATAATAATAAGTTTTCATTGTAATTTCCTTTAGAATATGAATTAAATATAGTTGGTTAACTGATTTAGATTGAATATAAGAGGAAAAAATGCTCAGATTCTACATACTCTTGCTTATCAAAAGGATTCTTTTCTTTTGAAACCGCTCATAGTTTCCAAGGTCGAGGTCCACCTACAAAAATGGAATTATGTCATCATTTACTTAGGCTATGAGAAAAATTCAAATATCAACAGCAATTTTTAGAGATTGGTGCATCTCTAAAATTCCAATCTGTAAAGCTTATGCGTAAACACACTTGTGATAAGCCTACTTTATAAACATTTCTTTGCAACAAATTTACTCATAGTTGTGCAATTGGAAGTTCCATAGCCATAAGATAACCACTTGTGATAAGACTACTTTATAACCCTTTCTGTGCAAGAAAATTAAATTACAGTTTCGAATGAAAAAACTTTGAGAAGGACACTATCCCTATCTGATAAAACTTGAACTTCATATTACGAAAATTGAATGTAGAAGCACACATAAACTTAATCAAGTATCGTTCTTTGGCTTCCAGCGGGTAAGCGTTTTGGCAAATATAACCTGTCTGCTAAAAGAACACTCCACAACAGTAATTTCCAATTACACACAGCAAGTTTAATACTCTAAATCACCGTTTCTGGTTCAGCTATAAGTATACTCGTTTGTAAAAGTTTCAATGGAACAAAGGAAGACATATTAAAGAAACCCAATCTTAGAGGCTTTAAAAAAATAAAAGCAAAAAAGATTGTAAAAATCCAAGGTGTACCTCTAAACATCCAACTTCTAACACATTGTCAGCCAAATAACAAACTTATTATGTCTAAGAGGCCAAATTTCGTTAAATCCTCCATCCAAAATCCTAAATTCAACAACACCCTCAACTTCCCAATCACGATCAACCCTCAAAATCATACACAATCAAACATAGTACCGAAGAAAGAAAATTAGAAAAAAACAAAGATTCATGAACATAAAAATTATGTAAATACCTGAAGATCCATCATAGCCATGTACCTTTGCAATGGTACTTGGTACTGATGCATAGTATGCATCATTTTCTTAACCTATTCAGTGAAACGGCACATTCAGAATAATAATTTACCAAAAAAAAAAAAACCCAAATAAATTGTATGGTTCCAATTTATAGAATTTAGTATGTTAACGTGAATCTCTTGACTAACAACACCTGGGGGAAGAAGACGATGGAGAAAGGGGGCATCCCTCTCTTTGTCAGTAAAGGCAAGCCCTTTGTTGTAGTGTTGATCTTGTAGCAATGGATACACACTGTAATGCAAAAAAGAGATTGTTTAAGCAAACAAATGAAAAATAATGCACAAACGTTACAACTTATAAAAAAAAAAAGAAATCATGAAGGATCAATCATCTCATCAGAAAATAAGGAGGAATAAACCAGACTAACTTAGTGAATCCTAAATCATCTCATATAATACATCATTCTTCTGCTTTTCCAAATTCGTTAAGCTTTAAAAAAACGCTTTTACATTTTTTATAGGAATTTCGATAATTCCCATATTCCTTTAACGTGTTCCAAATCTATTGATCCTTTTTCTTTTCCAGCAAACAAAATTGGATTTTTATGTGTCGTCTGTTTCTGTAAAGTAATAATTTTCAGATTTTGTGTATTATGAATGACTCCATTTCTGTAATTGAATTTTTTCTCTTCAAATTTTGATTCTGTCAAAATTTTTTCAAGTTTCAATTCATGTCATCTTGTTGAATTGAGAGATGCTTTCGATACGGAAAATGAGATATCATGTACTTCCTGGTTAGATAATTATTATTTACCTTGTCATTTCTCTCTCAAATCTTGAAGGCTGTAAGTAAGCTGTATAATGTAACAAGTGTTTTCTCTCCGACTACCGTGACCCAATCCATTTCTATTATGACAAGCTAAATCAAATTTTAACCCAAGTGTGATTACTCTGGACCGAAAGCAAATTTTAACAAATCATGGAAAAAAAAATCTCAAGAACAAAATCACATTTGAACTACTCATGAAATGTCACTAAAAATCACATTTGACAAGCAATACCAAAATTAAACCCGCGTGAACTAAAAAATCAATGGAGGAACCCAGTGTAAATTTCAAAATTGCACAAGTAAAATCTTGCAGTTTGGTAAGGCAGCGAAATTTTGAAAATGTTAAAATTGTACATATAACACCTTAATATTTAGCAAATCAAACAACTCACTTGAAGGGAAGGATTGAGATTCGAGGGACGTCGACCGATTACTTCGTAGCGTTTGCGGTCGAACGCCGCGACCCGACGCCGGCGTCGGGTTCAGTGATTGTGCGGACCGGGGCGGAAGGTGAGAAGACTACTTTCAGTGAATGATTTGGAGGTAAATATCTTGGAAGGAAATGGGGAGAGCAAGGAAGGAAATGGAGAGAAGATGAAGTAGGGTTTTCATTTGGGGGAAAATTTGAGTGAGAATGGGTTCTTTCATTTCGAGTGTCAAAATATCTACCCTTTTTGCAGATCGGCTTGAAAACGGCTCGGCTCGAAAACAACGGCTTAGCTACAGTAAATCCAAACTCACTCTTTTTTTTTTCAAACTCACTCTTTTATTATAGGCGGAAGAAGAAGAGGAGGTAGAGATAAGTAGGATGACCTTGGTCAAAGATGAACGGGAAAATGGAGAAAATACTTTAAACAAATATGAAAAATAGATTTTATCTAAAAAGTTGGGCAATTTTGATTTTTTTCGAGAGAGATTCATTCTTTTTGTGAGCGTGCTCGTAACCTCTAAAACACGTGACTTTGTCAATCGACCTCTGGTCTTGACGAACATCAGCCAGTGACTGCTAGTATGATCAGATTTTTGTGGTAAAATCAAACTAGAGAAAACATTTAAACGGATTATTAAGGGTTATTACTCAAATAGTTTTGACTAAACGACAAACTTCATCAAAAAGGAGAACAAAACCACAGGGTATTTATAAGCAGTCTTTGCAAAAGTAAGGAAGAACATCACAATGTAGTCCAATTACATAGATCAAGGATTCATCAGACTTCTCTCAGTTTCAAACCCAAATACCGTCCTAGCGTACTTGGTTCATTTGATTTGGGGCTTCGCTTTCCGACCGCTTTTTGAGGCCTATGTGAACAGGAGACATGTCGCGAAGCAGGTATTCAATTTCCAAAGCCGCCCTCTCCTCTGAAGCCTTGAACAGCTTTCTAAGTTCTTCTCTTTGTTCCAAAAGCTGCACGGGGTGATTAAGAACTAAGAGTCATTATATCAGATGATATTATAGAAAAGTAACTAGACAAAACATTACTTGTTTGGAGGTTGAATGGATATCATTAAAGATGAAAATAAAGTTAAAATAATGTCTATACCATGCAATTTTGTCTAATTTGCGTACCAAAAATGCACTAAAAGGTTTAACAAGTTACCTAATTCGGTGTTCTTTAAAAACAAAAAATGGTCAAAGTGCAGGTAATTTGGAACAAAAAATACTGAACAACATCAAAGATTAAAATGAAATAAATAAATCTTGTCAGTTGTAGTATTCAATACTCTATATAATATACTGTGTGACTAAAAAACATGCACTGCAAGAATATCAAAGAGAAATGAACATGAAGATATTACCACTTTATGTTCTGGTGGAGGAGATAGAGATCCTCGCATAGTAAAAGCTAACACTAGAAAGTGGAAGTTAGTCGACCAGGCAGAATAAAAAGGAAATAAAACTGATAATTTAATCTGTTATTTCGATTAAATGTACTCAATGACTCTCGCATCCTTTTCTTTGGGTTCTTGCAGCAAAGTTCATGGTCGTGTCTTAATAACTCCAGCTCATCATCGGGTAAATTTGACTCACATCTTTTCCTTGGAACGTCCTGTGAAGATGGATTTTTTTAGTTTAAAAGAATGAACAAGTTCTGTAAAGTTTCTGATGGTCCACCTCTCTCTATTTCTTTTGCAGTAGTTGTGGATTGAATATTGGATAATTTTTGGTGTCATTGTCAGTTTAGATTTGCAGTATTTTTTGTGAATAGAACAAAATGTACATTGAATTTTGGATAATTATTGGTGCCATTTTCATTTTGAGCAAGAATGTGTTTGATGTACATGTTGTTATTTGCATCTCGTGTACATAAGATTGTTCAGAGGTCACAGGTCCTTCTATATATCACACATTGCAATCTGGTGGTCAAAATGAATAGTGCTTTGATCACACAGGTTTATGATGGTCACGGTGAATAGTATACTGGTCACAGTCTATAATACAAGATTTCCGCCAGGTCACATTTCATAATATTTACAGAGTATATAGGTCACAGAGATACTACTAGTGACATAATGTTATATCAGGTCACAGATAACACATTAGGTAATTGTTTGTGATCATATGGACACAGATAGCAACACAGGCTTCTGAAACATTTGCAGGCAATCTGCAGAGGTCACAGAATATGAATGCAATTCATTTAGGTCATTGGGTCACATTGTCCACAAATATTAACCTATTTTTTTCCCTTCAGTTAATAGTGCAATGGTCACAGTCTGTAATAGAGGATTTCCACCATGTCAAATTCATAATATTTACGGAGTATGTAGGTCACAGGGATACTACTAGTGACATAATGTTATATCAGGTCACAGATAACACATTAGGTAATTGTTTGTGATCATATGGACACAGATAGCAACACAGGCTTCTGAAACATTTGCAGGCAATCTGCAGAGGTCACAGAATATGAATGCAATTCATTTAGGTCATTGGGTCACATTGTCCACAAATATTAACCTATTTTTTTCCCTTCAGTTAATAGTGCAATGGTCACAGTCTGTAATAGAGGATTTCCACCATGTCACATTCATAATATTTACGGAGTATGTAGGTCACAGGGATACTACTAGTGACATAATGTTATATCAGGTCACAGATAACACATTAGGTAATTGTTTGTGATCATATGGACACAGATAGCAACACAGGCTTCTGAAACATTTGCAGGCAATCTGCAGAGGTCACAGAATATGAATGCAATTCATTTAGGTCATTGGGTCACATTGTCCACAAATATTAACCTATTTTTTTCCCTTCAGTTAATAGTGCAATGGTCACAGTCTGTAATAGAGGATTTCCACCATGTCACATTCATAATATTTACGGAGTATGTAGGTCACAGGGATACTACTAGTGACATAATGTTATATCAGGTCACAGATAACACATTAGGTAATTGTTTGTGATCATATGGACACAGATAGCAACACAGGCTTCTGAAACATTTGCAGGCAATCTGCAGAGGTCACAGAATATGAATGCAATTCATTTAGGTCATTGGGTCACATTGTCCACAAATATTAACCTATTTTTTTCCCTTCAGTTAATAGTGCAATGGTCACAGTCTGTAATAGAGGATTTCCACCATGTCACATTCATAATATTTACGGAGTATGTAGGTCACAGGGATACTACTAGTGACATAATGTTATATCAGGTCACTGATAACACATTAGGTAATTGTTTGTGATCATATGGACACAGATAGCAACACAGGCTTTCGAAACATTTGCAGGCAATCTACAGATGTCACAGAATATGAATGCAATTCATTTAGGTCATTAGGTCACATTGTCCAAAAATATTAACCCATTTTTTTCCTTCAGTGAATAGTGCAATGGTCACACAATAAGTGCTCACAGGTCACAGATCTTAGTATATGTCACAGATTGCTATCTAATGGTCACAGAGAGTAGTGCATTGGTCACACACGTTTCTAAAATATTTGCAGTCAATCTGCAAAAGTCACATGCTATAAATACAAGTTATTTAGTTCATTGGTATTGGTACCGACAATGGAAACATTTTGTTCCCAATTTCGGAGCTACAGATTAGCGCACTCAATTGGACCTTCAACCCAGACGAAACCTGCGTACATCAATCAAAATTTGATCGGGGATTACGTCCTTCGATTTGTGACCGAAATAACTGTTATTCGGTCGTCAAATTTCCACCGTATGGAACGATGTGGCCGGCGACGACGAAATGTGATTTGAGACTGGAAATCTCGCTTAATCTACCGTCAATTTTGTCCACAATCGAAATCAGTCTGGGTGATGAAGCAGAATCTGTATATTATGGAGGTGATTTGTTATATTAGGAAATCTTAACTGTACGCTTAAATTAAGGAACAACATTTAGTAGATTAATTGTTAAATATAATTAATTAAATCATGGAAAAATCTGAGTTTTGAAATTCTAAACCATGGGATCTGATTTTTGATTTCGTGTAAGATAATGATTGACCCATGCATTTTTCCCGATAGTGGAAATTACACAATTTCATGTATTTAAAGATTGATTTTCAAAAATAAAGTTTAAAATTTACTTATTCAAAAATCGGATATTAATTTTATATTTTAATACATATAATAATATTAATAAATTATAATTTTCACCCAATTTTCACCCTAATTTATTTTATCAACCATCCTCCCTCCTCCCGCCAATTAATTAGTAGCTCACTGCTTTAAATCCACATGTCAAGCCAGTAATATTAATGACATCTAATAGAGTGAATGAATTTGAAATAAAATTAAAGTTAAATGACTCAATTGAAACTTCGCTCAAAGTTGGGTGACCTCGAATAACCATTTGCTTTGTGCCCCAGTTTTGGGGAACCATGACTACAGATGTGATGCTTTAGCACAATTGAGTCCAATTCCCAAACAAAGGGATAGTAAATGGTTTGTAACATTTTTATTTAACAATTTCTTTTTTATATTTTTTAAAGTTTATAATTACTCATTTTGTTCTATTTTCCACTTAATTTTTGTAGATATTGCAGAATTCTTTTTCATCGACATGACACATTCCAAGATAAATATTTTATAGATCCCGAAGACGAAGTTTATGATTGGCGAGGCATGCTTCCTAGAGAAAATTATCTTCCAATCCTCTTGAAAGTAAATTATTTTATTATTGTGTTCGTAGTTCTTTATCACAATATTATATATTAAATTAGATACGACTAAACACCATAATGTACATGACTTAACCTTGTTTGGTCCAACAAAATAGTAACCATTATTTTGTATATTCTTAATAGGATCTGGAATCAGCATTGAGAGAATCTCATGCAAAATAGAAAATTGTGGTTGGTCATCATACCATTAGAAGTAGTGGAATTCATGGCGACACCCAAGAGCTTGTAAAAAGACTTCTTCCAATTCTTCAGGTAAGTAATTTTTTCAAAATATTAAAATATTTTTAAAAAATTGACGAGATGCTTGACGATATAAGAATCATATACATTTACCAAAAGGTCTAAGGTGTTTAAATAGATTAGAAGTTCTCGTCAACTTAGCTGGTTGACGCAGCGAAAAGCAAAGAATTCAAACAAAAACCTTAAAAATATGAATATTGGAATCCACCAAATTATGAATAAAATAAACTCACGAAATTTGATTAATGTAAGATGATGAAAAACAATGAATTAACAATTTATTTATAAGGGTTAATAATTTAAACTAAAATTGAAAAGAATTCAAAATAAATTAAATGACAAAAATAGCACTAAAACTTTAAAAGCAGTTTTCGAGTCCTAAATGAACTTTAGATGATCAAAATTCATCGTATGTCATAGCAAAGCAATGAGTTCTACTCGTCTCATTGTTCTCTTTTTGGAACTGTATTATTTGCCCAAGAAAGGAATAAACATATGAATGAGCATGTTTTCGAATTGTGATGTAAATATTGATCCTACAAGTTTGATGCGTATCTAGTCATTAGACAAATATGATTGGAGACAAGTTAGATGGCTGTTTAGCCCATGTTTAGTAGAAATTAGAATCTAAGTCAAAGTCAACAAATCACACATTTTATAGGATCCACAACTTTTCAACTATACATTTCATCTACTTTATCAAAATCTATTAAAAATTTGATTTTAATCCCTACCAAATAGGGGCTTAATAGAATCCCTATACATAATTTCAGTGATTGGTTTTACTATATCGACAGTTTAACTTCATATTCATGAATGATTTTAAGATTGGAGTCCTGAAATAGTATTTCCTAACGTGATAAGAAGATAATATTATTTGGACTAAACAAAATGCAAATCGAGGCGTGGTTGGATCCTTCTGACAGTTGTATAAAAGCTTTGTGCTCGTGCTTTATCTAGGCAAAACATTCAGAATTTAACGAAGTTTCATGAAGGATATCTCGAAGATGATGCTTTCTTCCCAAAGACGTCAGCTTTTTGTTTACATAAACGAAATAAATATATATATGAAAAATGAAAAGTGTTCCATGATTTGTAAAGTAAAACTATGGCCAGTATTTGGTAGTGGAACAATATTTACTCTAAATGGCTAGCATGATGTGTCACGAACTTGTGAAGTTTTATCTTTTCGGTAATTAAGGAAAGAATGCTGCTTTATCCTTTTTTCATATAATGATACAGGAGAAATAAGAGAAAATCAAGTCCCGACGTGTTCTCACCTCATTGGGTTAGGGTGGGCCACCCGATGAGGTGGTGACCCCTCATTCAACTGTCGCACCACGTAGGACGGTGACAACTAACATTTTTTTTCCATTTTGTCAGGCTTGTAGTGACGATGAAGATGGTAGTAATGACAATGACAGTCAAGATGGTAATTCACGAGGTGATATTTCAATAGAAATGAGAGTTGATGCTCCCGATTCAAGTTTGAATCAAGAGAACATGATGATTGATGAGCCTAGTCCCCACGAAGTGGCTGAAGTAGAAGCTGGATGGACTGTAGTTTCATCCAAGCAAAATAAAGGTAGAAGGAACTAAATTATACTCATAATTATTATGTATTCTCCTTTTATTAGCGCTGTGAGACAAAAAAAAGTATCTCATGTGTTTGTATAATTCTTCGAAACATTTTCTACATCAGTTTTTCCCCCACTATGCACTTGGTTTTATGGCAATGAAGAGAGAGTTGTTAAGCCTTTACTATTACAACCCTGCATCGGTTGTGGGAGAATGAAGTTTCATATTTATGTTCTAAATTGTGGGTTTTATGGAATGTGTGGAATTATCGATCATTTTAATGTAAGTCCTATATTGAGATGATCGATTTAATAAGTCCTCACGTTTGAAATAAGGTATTATCGATCATTTCAAAAAATTGCATTATTTGAATGAGTTGAAATTTGAATTATGGAATTGATGGACACCAAAACTCATCTTCCTTCCGTTTGAGCCTTATTCTCTAAAACTTCATTTTTCAAAATCGTTTTTCACCTACATATTTTCATGATAAAATAATTTTGCATGTAAATTCGAAAGTTTTCTTACTTTTTTATTCCAAATTCTTGAAAAAAAATTACTTTTATAAAATTCAATTTTTCTCAAAAATTGAGCTCAAACAGAGCCTTATTAAAATTCAGAAGATTGCATAATCTGTCTTAAGATTCTATAGATTTATAATTGTTATAAATTATTAGAAATATTTAAAAAATTAAAATTAAAGCATGATCTTTTCCTTTTGAAAGCATTCATTTGGTTCGTTATGTAACTGGCATCTACTTATACATGAGAACATGGCATATCCATTATATTCCTCAATCAATAATATTATTTAATTATTTAAAGTCTTATTCAATAAAATCATGTAGCAAAACAACAAACACAAATTAACAATTTAATTATTCTCCCCCGTGATCGTATCCTCCTTTCGACAATTAACCATAATGAGAAAAAAATAGCACTTATTCTTTTACGCTATTGATTTGTACTGTATTAGATAATACTCGATAATATCAAATTAAAAATAAAAAAAAATTAAACTATTATTGACTATATAATCATGTAGGAAACATGAAGGGCAAATTTTATTGGAGGTCTCCCAACTTTGAACAAAGTCTTACTCGGGTCATTTGACTTTAATTTTATTTCAAATGGAGTCAATCTGTAAGTTACAACAAAGGAAATTAATGGCTTTGTTTACATGGACGTTAAACAAGATAGAATACCATATAGGATCAAGTCGATACACATAAAGCACGATTTATCAAGTGAATTTTCATCCTATATAGCATTTTATCTCATTTTCAACATCAACATAGGCATCTAAAAGATTGGTTATACTTGAAACAAAATTACAGTTTGGTGACTTGATGAAGACATTTTAAAGTTAGGTGACTTCCAATAAAATTTATTCTTTTGACATTAAAATAAAAGGAAAATTCATAGTATAATTATTAATTTAATTTGATGTATGTACACATTTGTTGAAGTCACTTGTATTCTCCACTTTATTAATTTTTTTTAGGAGCATTAATATCAGTATTTTAATGATTAGGTAACATAAAAGTTAAAACCATAATCCCAAATGAGCATTAATTTATTGTTTTCTTTAATTCTCACTATATATACTTGTATTAAGTTATTAACCTCATTATAGACAACCCTGTATTCTACAACATGAAGGTCACAAGATGTGTGAAATTTCCTCTGTTAATTCTATTTTTCACATTGATCTTCTTTCCTTGTTTAACAAGAAGCACCCCAGTGCTAGATACAGATGGTAATGAAGTTCAAAGTAATACAAAATACAATGTATTTCCTCTAGAAAGAGGAAATGGTGGTGGACTTGCACTTTCTGCAAAGGACAGGCCATGCCCATTTATTGTCATGCAAGAAAACTATGAAGCTTCAAGTGGGCATCCACTAAAGTTGTTTCCATTGGACAACAAGCAGCAGGTAGTTAACTTGTCCACATATCTGAATATCGTTTTCTCGGCTGCCACGATTTGCGTGCAATCAACCGTGTGGAAACTTGGCAGCGTGGATGAGATCACGGGGCGGAGGTACGTGTCTAGTGGCGGCGTCATGGGGCGTCCTGGAGTGCATTCAGTTGACACATGGTTCAAAATTGAAAAGTACGGGAATGGGTATAAGATTGTTTGGTGTCCTGCTAGTGCGTGTAATACTTGCAAGGTTGTGTGTGGTAATGTGGGTGTATTTGTTGAAAATGACAAGAGATGGCTTGGTTTGAGTGATGTACCTCTTGTTGTTGTGTTTAAGAGAAGTTCAAATTAACAGTGTTCAGAAAATCTCATTAATAAAAAGAACTATTAATAGCTTCTTCTTGATTCTTTCAAAATTATATGTGATTTATTACAAGAATTAGTGCAATCTAGAAAGAATTTGCAAAAGATCTGTAATCTAGTAAATATTATGATGCGTGAATGTTGTAGGACTTAGACTTAGTCAATAGTCTGTTAGTTATTTTCCATTTAATAAGACCATGTTGATTTAATTTGATTGCCAGGTGAGCTGGTCTTAATTCTTTCCTAAGTTTTAGCATTGTTTGTTATTTTCCAGCTGTAAGACTATTATAAATAGTCCCCCAATATGATTAATAAAGGACGTCAAGAATTTCAGAATCCTTCTTCATCCTCTTCAATTTCTCTTCCAGAAATTTGAACTTATCATTTGGTATCAGAGCGTAATTCCGACAATGGACACTCGTGGCAAAACTAATGTTGAATTTCGCAATGATGTGAATGAAGCCTTGGCTCGACATGAGTCCAGCTTTGATCAAATCAATGTTGCCTTGCAATCAATATTAACTGAGTTACAAGACTTGCGAGTCTCTCGCACTAACCCAACCCCCAACCTGAAATTAACCCTTTTTACCTAGGAGAAACATCACATCCCACAAACACCATAAGGCCCCATACCCCAAACGACCCTCACCACCACCTCAAGCTACACTTTCCGACCCTACTGGTTGGATTTACAACGCAGACTAATATTTTGAATTTAAGAACATCAGTGCTGATCAACGAGTTTAGCTAGCTTCCTTTCATTTAGAAGGCATAGCCCTACAATGGCACCGATGGTTCATGAAATTCCGTTGACCACAAAATTGGGACGAATTCACCGAAGTAGTCCTCCTTCGCTTTGGACTAACTGACTATGAAGACCCTTTTGAAGCTCTCACATGACTCCAGTAGACCTCTACTGTGGCAGCCTATTAGGAAGCCTTTGAAAGACTTTCTCACCGGGTTGACGGCCTACCTGAGGCATTTCTTGTTGGTTGTTTTCTTGCAGGTCTTCGAGATGATATTCGCCTAGACGTAAAAATTAAACAACACAAGGTGTTGGCAGACGCTATAAGAGTTGCTCAACTGATTGAAGAGCGAAATCAACTTCAGAAGAAGCCGAATTACCCAAGTCGATCCCAACCAGCAATTGCAACACCAAGGACGAGTTCCAACTCTGCTCCCGGAGTTCTAGGCCTTCTTCCTAACCATCGTGGAAGTCCAAGTGCAAATGTTCATTTAACCACCTTCCGACGAATAACCAATCAAGAGGCGAGAGAGCGTCACGAAAAAGGATTACGCTACTATTGTGTTGAGAAGTTTGCCCCGGGTCATCGATGTGAATGTCCACAAATATTCATGATAGAAGATTTGGATCAATCAAGCGTTGACAAGGATGAACAACCCCAAATAGAACCTGATAACCAAGAAAGCATGCCGGAAATCTCCTTTCATGCAATGTCTAAAGCCAATCATCCCAAAACAATCCGTGTATTGGGCAAACTCAAAAACAAAAACGTGATCGTACTCATATATAAGGCATAGTAACAGCCCATTTTCATTACCTATCCTATTGGTCAAAAAGGCGGATGGTGATTGTCGATTTTGTGTTGACTATCGAGCATTGAACCGCATCACAATCAACGATAAATATCCAATTCCAGTAATTGATGAACTCCTTGATGAACTTCATGGAGCCAAATTCTTTTCCAAGTTAGATTTAAAGGTAGGATACCATCAAATTCGGGTACATGAAGAAGATATTTCAAAAACAGCTTTTCGAACACATGAAGGGCACTGCGATTTCATTCTAATGATGTTTGGCCTTACCAATGCACCCTCCACCTGCCAAAGTCTCATGAACGACCTCTTCATCTGTATCTCAGAAAATTCATCTTGGTTTTCTTTGACGACATTCTAGTCTATTCAAAGACATGGGATGATCATCTCTCACATCTCCAGATTGTCCTCAATATTTTAAAAACTAACCACTTGTTTGCTAAAGCAACCAAATGCAGGTTTGGTGTTTCTCAGGTGGACTATTTGGGGCACATCATTTCAGAACAGGGAGTTGTGGTAGACCTAACAAAAATACAAGCCGTTCTTGAATGGCCAACATTTTCCACAACCAAGGGAATACGTGGGTTTCTCGGGCTGGCAAAGTATTACCGCAAATTTATCCATCATTTTGGAGGTATAGCAGCCCCATTAACTCAACTCATGTCCAAGGAAAGATTTAAATAGAATGATGCAGCAGAACTTGCTTTTCAAAGGCTGAAGGAAGCACTGACATCACCACCAGTCCTACGCCTTCCAGATTTTTCTCAAAGGTTCGTGATTGAATGTAACACTAGTGGGATCAAAATTAGAGCAGTCCTTTCTCAAAATAATCAGCCAATAGCTTATTTTAGTGAAACTTTGAAGGGGTCAACTTTGTTGTTGTCTACATATGAGAAAGAAATGCTAGCCATTGTTAAGTCAAGTCGAAAGTGGCGTCTATATCTCATGGGCAAACCATTGACCGTTCACACTGACCAAATGAGCCTCGAATATTTACTTGAGCAACAAATTACTACACCAGCGCAAACTCGATGGCTCCCAAAGATCCTTGGATATGATTATGAAATTGAGTACAAGTGCGGCATGGAAATCAAGATGCTGACTCCTTTTCTCGTATGGTTGAATTTCAGTTCTTGTCCATTTCTATGCTACATGCAGATTGGTGGCCAAAATTACAAAAGGAAGTACAGCAAGATCCTTTTTATCAGAAGTTGAGTCAAACACAATCACCTTACTAGCTAGCACTGCGAGATGGAGTCTGGTTCAAAAACGACAAAGTCCACTTGAGTCCTACTTCAGCTTTAATTTAACAAATCATAGCAAATTGCCACTCTTCATCGACTGGTAGGCATTTTGGATTCGATGAAACGCTCTCTCGCATCAAGCTCAGCTTTGGATGGCCTAACATGCATCGAGAAGTAAAGGAATTTCTACATCAATGCAACGTATGTCTGTTAAGATTTTGGGTTCCATCTTAAAAAGGTCAACCTTATTAAGAGGAGCAGCTCAATATCTTTTATTAATTAGTCTGTGTCAACATCATTTATTGATGTGGGATATATATCCCTTAACACGCCCCCGCAAGATGGTGACTCATTTGAGCAGACTAAACTTGAAATCCACATGCTCATTTTAGAGTCTTAACAGGATCGAATCGCTCGTTGGAGTATAATGGGCTCTGATACTATGTTAAGAATTGGAGGTTCCATCTTAAAAGGTCAACCTTGTTAAGAGGAGTAGCCCAATATCTTGATGAATTGGTTTGTGTCAACATCATTTATCGATGTGAGATATATATTCCTTAACATGCCCCGCAAGATGGTGGATCATTTACACAGACCAATTTTGAAATCCACGTGCTCATTTTAGAGTTTTAAAGGGATCGAATCGCTCGTTGGAGCATAATGGGCTCTAATACCATGTTAAGAACTGAGATTCCATCTTAAAAGGTCAACCTTATTAAGAGTAATATCCCAAGATATTTATTAATTAGTCTGTATCAACATCATTTATCGATATGAGATATATATCCCTTAACACGCCCCCACAAGATGGTTGAGTTGTCCAATCCTTTATAAGTTTGTCTATGTTTACATCTTTATTCGATTCGAGATTTTATATCCCTTAATATTCCCCCGCAAGATGGTGACTCATTTGAGCAGACCAATTTTGAAACCCATATGCTCACTTTTGGAATCTTAACTAGATCGAATTGCTCGTTAGAGTTTAATGGGCTCTTAATAATGTTATCCTTTTAAGATGGAACTCCAATTCTTTACATGGTATCAGAGTCCATTAAACTCTAACGAGTAATTCGATCAAATTAAGACTCCAAAAGTGAGCATACGAATTTTAAGATTGGTCTACTCAAATGAGCCACCATCTTGCGGGGGGCGTGTTAAGGGATATATATCCCACATCGATAAATGAAGTTGACACATGCCAATTAATAAAGATCTTGTGATACTCCTTTTAATAAGGTTGACCTTTTAAGATGGAACCCTAGTTCTTAACATGTATCAGAACCCATTTTACTCGAACGAGTGATTCGATCCAGTTGAGACTCTAAAAAGAGCACGTGGATTTCAAGATTGGTCTGCTCAAATGAGCCATCATCTTTCCGGGGTGTGTTAAGGGATATATATCCCACATTGATGTCGACACATACCAATTAATAAAGATCTTGGGCTACTCTGCTTAACAAGGTTGACCTTTTAAGATGGAATTTCAATTCTTAACAATGTCAAAGGTACAAAACTGATTGCATGAAACCAGCTGGCTTACTTCAACCATTACCCATTCCTACTCAGATGTGGACTGAAGTATCAATGGATTTTATCAAAGGATTACCGCCGTCAAATGGACACACAGTTATCATGGTAATTGTTGATCGCTTAACCAAATATGCTCATTTTGTTGCCTTAAGACATCCATATACTGCAGTCACTATTGCTAAAGCATTCATAGCCAATGTGGTTCGCCTCCACGGAGTTCCAACATCCATAGTGAGTAATTGGGATAAAGTTTTTATAAGTTCTTTTTGGCAAGCACTCTTCCAGTTACAAGGAACTAAGCTTT